CCAAAGCGGGTCATGTCAAGTTCATGCCTATCGTGTATTCAAAAGCCATAAATGTTTCTCAGAAAGCCTATCCCTTGGAAAGATTCCTCCAAGATAACATATGTTTGAGAAGGGGTTTTATGTTGCTGCATCTCTGCACAAATGACAAGTATTACTGTCATCATTCTTTCTTCCTTGGTATTTAACCCCCTAGTCTCACTGGAGTCATAATTTATCAATTGCTGGGAGCACTATGGGGTATAGATGGTATGAATCAAATACAGCAATGACTGAGGTAGAGCTGGCTGGACTTGAAAGCTGTGATAGAGGCAGTTTCCAGAGAAGCTCAGGGTATTTGCATTGCCAACTGTTTGTAAGAAAATCTCTCCAGCAGCTGGAGGATGTAATTTGAACAGCACTTCCAAATTTAGTAGAGGCTTCCAGGCTGACAACTTTCACCCAGCTATACATCGAGGGGTAGGCTACCACTTGCCTTGGTGTGACTTAGCAGATCCATTTGGATGCCTTGCTCTAAGGGGACCATGCAGAGCTTGTGTCAAGGAGCAGACTAGCTAAGTTGACCACAAGAAAGATGAAAACATCCACTTGTTCCTCCTCTCAGTAGTGCACCCATACCAAAGCCCTAGTCCTGACTAGAGAGGAATTGCGACACCTCTCCTTTTTCCAAGCAGAACTTTTTTCTGTGTGACATCCAGGGAAATCAGCAGTGTTATTTCTGATACAAAGCACTACTGAAATGTAAGGAAGAAATTAATCAACCCATTCTGATTCTCATATGTGTTGATTTTACCACAACTTCCACTGATGTTATGGGTAGCCAGGCCTCAGAAGCCTCAAAAATGTCTGTCTCATTTTTAAGTAGCAAGTCTGTGGGCCAACCAGCAGGGCTCAGACCTGCTGCTCTTGGCGGTCTCAGGATGCACAGCAGTGCTGAGTACTTGGGACAGGGTGGCCTCATTCTCTTCTGTGACTGCGGTATAAAATATTTTCTTGTCATCAGCTGATTAGTACACTTGTATTTACCAGTCGTGTAATTAGACAGAAGCAGTCACGCTTTCACAGGCAGTAATATTTGCACTATGTAAAAATCTTCTCACCTATTGATTTGGCTAATTTTTCTGCATCTCGTGTGTGCATTTTCTTTATTCACGAGCCACAGGAAATTGTCTTGATATATTGCCCACACTGTAGCTTTGACTGGGTATAAGAGAAAAAAAAAATATGGGCAGCTAAATAGATTTTCCCTGACTCACCTCTTGCTCACTGAATAGAAAGCCAAGGACTTTCTGGACGCAGTTGCATTCTTGTAGTGTAATTGGGATTTTAACCATGCTTCTGAGTCAGAACAGAGACAAGGGTAGGCTTGTGGAGTATGCTTCATAGAAACTGGTAGTGGTGGACCGGTTTGTGCACAGAACAAAGGAAGGATCTCATCCACCCCATGTTTAGTGAGAAAGATATGGATAAACAAAGCTTGGAGCACTCCCACTGATACCAACAAGTTTGAGCCATCTTGTAAGGTAGCCCCAGTATGGACCCCATATGGTTCCAGAACTGTATTGCTCTGGGGTAAACATGCAAGAAATATCTATTGCAAAGGTGCTGAGTTAAGATAGATGCTAGAGGAAAATAAGCGGAGCCTATGAGACAGGGACACACCTGGAAATGCAAGCTTTTCTTGTGCAAGCCATCCCTCTGGGATGGACTTTATCCTCTGCTGCTTAGTAATTTTAGGAAAAATAGCTTAAGAAAATTCTTCTGTATTTGTTGTGACTTTTTTTGGGCCTACTTCACTTTAAAGAATTACCGTGGAGAAGCTGGCAGGTGTGCACACAAAAATCGATTTTCCCTGTCTTCTTCACTACCGAAGCCTGGATTTTGTTGTTGAGTTGGACCCTTTATTTACTAGTTACAAATTTCATGTGCCATTTTAATAATGTGCATTTTAACTATTTAGAGCTGCACATTAAACAAGCCCAGAAACTGTGTTAACAATCTACATGTTACGATATATTTTTTGTAACTGCTTGTTATAGCATCAACTATTAAGGATTTATTACTAGTGCATTTTAGATGGTGCTTTTACAGTCATTTAATTACAGCCATCTAGCAATCGTTACATAAATATGCATCAAGAGCAAGAACTCCAGTGTAAGGTGACCCAAAGGGCTTTTACCTGCCAAGACCAGGGTTCAGGCCCTCAGGTGGCAATGATGTAACCAACACGTGCAGGGAAACACAAACATTTAAAGCTGTGCAGGGAGCTATGTTCCTCCCTGCTCTAGGTGTTCATGAAGTCGTCAGCTGGAGCAAGAGCTCTGCAGACCTCTAAGGACCTGAGCTTAGCTATTGGCAAGCAAGCAAAGGAAAGCCAGTTCCCCTGCAGGCTGAGTCCCAACAAAGATGTGGGGATTTTGGCTGTGAGCACAGAAGTCGAGCTGCAAAATGGGCCCTGTGGAGCCCCTTGGTATTCCTGATGCTCTCCGTGCCAAATGCATCCTTACATCCATTAACTCAAGCTGATCTCATAGACAATTGGACATGTTGCATTTGACTCAAAGACAGCAGCAAAAGGCAGGTCCAAGATGCACTGCCTCGATGCACTCGATGCACTGCTGGTCACAGCACCAGCATGGGCTTATCTGAGGGGCTCTTCAGCTCCCTGCTGGGCTGTTGCTCCTGGCTCCAGTACTATTGCTAGTGTTTTCTGCAATGAACTTGAGCTGTCAGTTGGTAATGTCTATCTATAACTCATCCATTCAATACTGGTATTTCTTACATCTCATTTCAAAAACAAAAATCCCACTCTACAGTATGGCAGTGCTAAAAAGCTAGGCGGTAAATGTATGAGAAGCTCCTGCTATTCTTAAGCACCCACCTAAAGATAAGCTTGTCTAAAATTCAGTTCTTCCTGTGTAAGACTGGCTTTTCTGTGCAGAAAGGCTGTGAAATTGCAGTATCTCTATTGCATCCAGCAATGACTTGTCTATAATGAAAACAGTTATACTTAGAATGGGTAAATGTTTGGGGTTTTTTTTGTTGGTGATGCTAATGAGTTTTTTTTTCTGTTGTTGTTTTCCTGGAGGCACAATGAGGCTACCAAAAAATCTGAAGGATTAAACATTTCTGAAACAAAGACTAGCAAGGTGATGCAGGTTGGGATGAGGAGTAAAGTACCTCATCTTGTTTTCTTCTTAGATCAGCTAATAACCAGCCAGGTTGTCTGACTGACCCTTGTGTTCAAACCCATCGCTCTCCCCAAACAGCAAAAATTTTGCTTGCTTTTTCATGACTTTAAGCAATGCTCTATCGATATTTGCAGCCGGTATCTGCAGAGAGCACATGGTGCTCTTGTTACTTCATGGTGTTAGTACAGCATGACCCTGCAGAGAAATACAAGCTTAGTTTTGCTCATAGATTGCCTGAAATCTTCTGAATCTGTTCCCCTGAAAGAGTGTATTAGAGGCTCGTGCTTGTTGTGCTGCCTTTCAGCCTCAGTGCTGGGGCTGTGTGGGAAGCAGAGCCTGGCCATGCTGCACACTGCAGGGTGAATTCCTGTGGCTGTTTGGGGTGAAACCATCGCTGCCATACAGGCCTGCAGCTGCCCTTAAGGGATTTGTGAGGGTTGTTGGTCAGGATATTGCACTGCTAGCTGAAATCAGGAGGGGGAGGCCACAGATGGGTTGGTTGCTGGGCACACTGTGTCTGATTTCATGAAAGAAGGAGAAAAGATCATTTGAGTGTAGTTTTCAGTCCCTCATCCGTGGTTTTATGCATCTGTGGATTGACTTCCTGTTGCATGCTCTTAATGTAGTCTGAACTAATTTTCTTTGGTCATCTCTGGTATCCAAAATTGTCTGGGACAGAAGTCATGTGCATTTCTTGCTCCGGCAACAGCTACTCAGAGGCCAAGCACTTCTTGTGCAGAGCCTTGCACAGGCTCCAATTGCAATGCAGTCCTGAAGGACTGTGTGCCAGTGTCCTGTGTCCCCACCGAAGTTTAGCAGGCTACATCTGAAGGTGAATGAGGCTACTGTGACAATAGCTAATGCAGCAGTGTCTTCCAGCCCACCACTGGAAACATCAGGCTTCAGAATTCAAAGAATTCCATTACAAATGAATGGTTTCTGCCCCAAGGATTTAACCAAAAGGATGGCACAATGCAAAGCCTTTCTCCCCTGTGACTAGCTCTGGTATGTTCTTGTATCTTAAAAACAATATATTGCTTTTTTGGGTCTTTTCTTTTTGGGGGCATTGACAGCTTCACTGCTCTTTGTTCTTGTCCTGTGGTCTCTACCATCTCCATGAAGAAGTTGGTGCTACCCACTTGCAGGAGACAGCTGACGCATAGCAGGAGAGCCTACCAATGTGGTAGGAAGGAAGATGGGAAGCAACAGGAGGTAAGATCTCACTGTTCCCTGGTGTTTCTTGAGCACTGCAATGCATTTAATAGTTATCACAGCGAGCCAGTGAGGAAGACGCTGGTGTTCCCACCACGCAGGTTGAGGTGGTAAAGTTGGGATTTCCTACATCTCTCCACAAGCCTGAAGTGGGAGAAAGGCCAGGGGTAGAATAGTGATGAGCACTTGTAGTGATAGCTGAATCTGGGAAAAGAGTCAGTCACAGGTTTAATTTGAGTCAAAATCTCTGCTCACCTATGCTGAATCAAAGGCAACTTACACTGAGGTGAAAGTCATGGTCAAGTCTGGCCTTGAGTGGGATTTCCTTCCAAAACTTATGCTAGAGAATGAGGTTTTCCAGAAAGGTTTCAGCAGATTTTGGTTTTGGCACTCAAAATAGCTTCTGGAACATGCAAAATTAAACCAAGGACAGAGAAACCTTGTAACACCACACGCTATTCTTGCTACCTATCTTTAAAGTATTTGGAAAGATCTTCTTCAGCAATACCCTATAAACCAGCATGAGTCCTTATTAAATGCAGTGGTGTTACAGCTTAAAAGCAATTGCAGTAATTGCTTCTTCATCTTTCTTTCTCTCACCCCAGTCTCTCTGATTTGAAGCTTTCTAGCAGCATGATAGCCATGGCAGGACTCAGAGAGGCTCAGAAGGCCAGTTCCAGAAGCCTGTATTTCTCACCAGTGTCTTCTGGCAGAAGGACACACCACAGAGCTGATAGCAAGCTCCTGTTGCCCAGGTTTTTTGGCTGGAGAACTAGGAAGGATAAACACCTCCTTAAGCGCTGTAAGATAGAAATAGAAGAGAAAGGAATGGAAATCCTCTCATAATGCAACAGCTAGAAGCAGTCCAGCTGTTTTGTTTTATTCCCACCATGAGAACTACAGTCAGTCCCAGTGCAAGCTTGGCCACCTGTCAAATCAGGTTTGTGAACTAAAGCTTATTGGAATTTGACACAGTCTTGTCTTGGAGCACACTGGTATGGATCAATAAAGGCTCCTCCGATAGCAGTGACACAACACGTATGCTATCCACACGGTCCCAGATGCCCCTTGTAAATCATTAAAATACTGGCCAGTTCTAATCAGACCCTTTGGGGTATAACGTAATATACTATCGGAGAACTTGAAACAATAAATCAAGTTAGCACAGAGGTCAGTCTGAGAATGAACAGAGCTGAGGCTTGTGGGGTGATGTGCATGCAGTGTAAGAGATGCAACGAGAGGAGGTGAAATCCCAAGTCAGCTATGCAGATTGCTTTCTTCTCATTGTAAAACCTCACTACCTTTACAGAAAGAAAAAATAATAGGATCTAATCATATCCTGTAGCACAGATGATTTGAGGTCTACAATTTCCCAGCAGTTGTGTTAGCTCTTGGGATCACAGGTATTTCTAATAATTTCTCCTTTAGGTTAACTCATACCATATTTCTAAAGTAAATAACAGTTAAAAAATGTGACCCCTAAATGTCATAGATCACCTGCTGCAAAAAGATCTGACTTTCCTCTAGAGCTGAAAACCATTTAACCATTAGCAAAAAATAATTTGGATCCCATCAGAAGGCAGCTGCTGTGGCTGCACTCTTCAGCCTTGCTTGGGACACAGCAGGCACCTTTGGGAAGGAGATATTGTCTTGCAAGTGCCCAGGTGCTGGCAACTAGTAACAGCCTATGTGCTGCAGCACTGCTGCACAGACCTAAATGTTTGAGGCTTTCTCTTTGTTACAGATAGGTTGAGTCCCATCTGCATTTGTCAAGTGTTTTCTGATTCTGTGGACAACAGAAGTATGGGGTACGAGCAATTTCTGTGGCCAACATGAATGGTCACCACAAATGTCAGCTGGCAATGAGTGATACCGAAGGCTAACATTTCTGGTGTGTCTGCATGTGCCTTTCTGTTTCTTCCCTTACCTTTAGAAGACAAATATTGAGTAATTGTTTCTCATCTTACCTTAGGGCAAGGATAGCCTGTGATGAATATTCCATATGCTGAGACTATATAACTCTCAGCACCGCTGTTTAATTTCCCTTGCTTTCTGCTGCACTTTTCCATCAAACCTCTCTGTGCTTAGCCTAAATTGGGCAGCATGTTTTTAGAATCCATATAGCAGAATAGCTTGGTGCCTGAGTTTTAACCATGGAGCTGTCTTTTTGGTAGTGGCCTGCCGGAAAGGTATCTGATGCCCCTGCCGTGATAGCTTCCCTTTAGCTCTGAAGGCCAGAAAAGGACTTTGCTTTTATCCTGTCAAAGCTGCTGTTATCCAGGTACGGGTTTTGCTGTGGGAGATGTGAGTCAAGTGTTCTCTTTGGGGTTTGTGCCGGTGCATCTCAAAGGGAGCTCAGCTGAAAGGTTTGGAGAGCAGTGCCAGGAGCTATCTCAGACCTTGCCTTTGGTAATGCAAGCCAGTAACTCAGAAAGTCACCATATCACAGTGGACAGAGTCACCATGAAGCACTGATGTTAAATAAAAGGCCTAGCAAAAACCAAGGCAGTAAATATCTGATGGTGAAAAAAGAGGAATTTGGCCTGCTTGAATGACGTACCAACATCTCTAAACTGGAAGAGTGCATGGGGCAAGGTGGCTTAATATTACATTTTATCTCTAATTAAACCTAAAATAAGTTTGAATTTGTTTTAAACCTGGTGGAGAAATAGTTGAAATGATGGAGATGCAATAATCAGTTTCATCAGAATCGTAGCACAGCTTGGTGCAGGAACTTAATGAAGATTTGTTGGTCAACAGCAATCTCCCAACCCACTTAATGTGCTCTCTATTTAATTTGCTCTGCTATTGTAGTAAATTTGAAGCCCCCAGGTCAGACTCAGCTTTTGTGGCTCTTGCAGTCTCTGCAGTGTCAGCAGGAAGTATGAACCAAAGACTTCGAGCCTGGGCTTGAGAAATGTATATTTCTCTTAATGAAACCCAAAGCCAGGTGAAATTTTTGGGAGAGAGGAAACAGGATATGGAGCCCCTTTGGGGGCTGGGAGGTGTTCATAACACTCTGAAACTTGGCCCACATTTCTGATCTCCTCCCTTACTGCTACACAAAGGGTTTGTAGCTTTTTTAGACACACTTGGATCCATTGTATGTTGTGAGAGAACCTGCTGGGAAATTTGGTGATTCCTGCTCACCAGAGCAGAGGAAATGTGTGTTTCTGCTTTGCGTTTTTAGGAAAGTAGGAAGATGAAATTCAAAATGAAGCAGAGCAGATGGGAATCTTTCAGAGAATGACACTGGGAAACATTTAGACAAGCTTTGTCCCCAGTCCTTGAGCTCAGGATTTAGCAACTATACCATAGAGAGATTTAAGAAAGACAATGAAATGCATTTTGGCTTCAAATACAGTTCCTCCAGAATCCGATGAGAGTTGTGCACGTGAATCTGAAGCCAGAATATAGCCAGCAGTATGGGGAATAGATGTAATGTGAGAAACTCTCGTGCTATATTATTATAGTCTGAATTGTTTCCATCATTCTGGGTTAAGTAATTCCCCACTATCCATCTCTAAACTGTAAGCAGTAGAGCCTTGATGTGCCCCAGGGAGAGGAAGCAAACCAGTCTTTGAATCTTTACCCAACCTTACTGCTCATATTTTGCTTTCAGTGAATAACTGTTCAAATCCTTTAATATTTCATTCCCATAAAAATATATTTACCAGGGGTTTTTGTGGCAGCAGTAAGTCTGTGTTTATTATTTTAGGAACACCACATGACTGGCTTTAGAGAAAAGACGAGGTAGGAGCACAGAGTGCTGCAATCTATCAGGGAACAGCATGTTTTCCACCTGTTGAGGCAGCAACCACAATAACAGATGCACATCATAATTACCTGTACCTCAAAGGCAGCACCACGTCCTGCACCTTCTGCTCCCCACCTAGCAGACAGCTTGATAACAGAATTACAAAAGAGGAACAGCGAGAGAACGGAGTAGATAGCTCTTTGAGAAGAATGAAAGAGCAGTTCTTATTAAAGAGAAAACTGGAAGGTGGAAGATGAGAAGGAAAGATCTGAGACACCATGATGCTAAAAAAGAGTGGAGCTGAAAAACTCCAGGAGCCTGCCTTATTTTTAGAGAGGTGGTCAGGTTTTTGCAAATGCCTTTTTCAAGGCTGCTTTCATTTGTGCTCCTATCATCAGGGATAATCTCTCCTGAGGGATAGGTGCCCCACACATCTAATGGAGCTCAATCCTTCCCAGGATGGGTGGCTCTGCAGTGGCAGGACAGGCTCATGCCCCCATGGGTAATGGTCTTGTCTCAGTGACAGGATCAGTGAGTGTGATGACCCTATGCCAAGGCCCTGTTCCTTTCCCCATCCCTGTCAGCAGGCACTGGGAGCACATGGGAGCTCTGCTACTCCCGTTTGCCCCAGAGGGGCTGTGCAAAGAAAGGTCAAGGACAGAGTGGGGTGCAGGGCTGTGAAGCAGGTAAAATACCTTTGTTCCTCACTGCTAACCTGCTGTGGGGTCTTGTGACCTACTCTGGCTACTGCAAAGGAGGAGGTAGCATTCAGCTGGGTGAGGGCTCCCTGAGCACATGAGCTTTGATGTGATTTGTACCACAGCAGTCCTTTGCAGGCAGAAAGGAAGAGATCCTTCCTTGCAGAGATTTGCAGAGGAAGAGAATGATCTCAGCCCCGATTTAATCTTGACAGAAGCAGATGATGAGAAGACTGTGTGCTGAGTTGGAGTCTTCCTTTGAATTCCTATGGTGTTGAAGGCAGAGTTATAAATAGACACAGTATCCTTTCTACCCTGGTACAATTCTGTCTGCAGCTCCCCATATAGACAGCAAGTCTGCTGGTAGGTATTTAGCAGGAATTAATTTAACCCAATCTTCTCTTCTGTACTCTTTCACTCCAGGAATCCTGATGGCTGCCATAGCCATACAGACATATTTCCTCAATAAAAGTGTTCTGAGGAAGGCTGTTGATATTAAAAAAAAACAAAACATTTCTGCCTGAAAATTCTATCCTAGTTACAAATAATTCATAGAAGCCCCAAATGATAAAGAGTATATAAAAAATAATAAGAAAAAAGTCCCCTCTCCCCTCCCCTCCCAAAAAACTTCTTTATCTTTCTTTTTTTTCCCCTCATGTTTTGTTTCTGAATAGCACAGCACTTTCTTCATAGCCTGTTCCACATTTTCTCCAGGGCAGCCAGTTGGCCAGTTACCCCTTTCCCAAGGAAGACTCTTGTGGATATCAGCTGCACAGCATTAGGAAATCCATCTACAGTGCTTCATGGCTATTAGATAGATCTTCAAGAAATTTAAATACAAGCCAGACCGGTGTTTAAAAAAAAAAAAAGCCCTGCATTTAAGCATCTCACTCGGTGTTGGTTTCTCATCTGGTCCTCCAGCAGGACAGCCTCCCAGCATGTCACAAACCCCAGGGTGTAAGGGCAGCAGCAGTGACCCGGTCTCACCCCACCCCTGTCCCTGCTCGCTGCTGGTGGGGCCGAGGCCCGAGGCGTGCTGCTGGGTGTGTGGCAGGCTGGCAAGCTGGCAAACAAGCTCAAGGTACTTGCCTGGTGGTCGAAGCTCCTGCGCGGCCGTGCCTCAGCTTACCTTTGTATGAGCAGTGCCCTTAGCTTTCCTCCTACCGTAACAGTCACAAGCAGCCTCTCTGCCTTTGGTTTATTCAAAGTCTATTTTTAATTGTGTTAATTATAAACCATCATCCCCCACCCTCTTTGGACCCACAGGCATCAGCCGGAGGGAGGCAATGAGCGGGCAGAGCCGAACGCTGCGTGTTGGCAGCGCAGGGCAGGCAGGGCAGCGCGACCGCGAGGCTTTCCTGCGCGTGGGTCGCGCCCGGGCCTCCCACGCAGGGCAGGACGCCTGCAGCACGGCCGCTACTTCGGCCCCGGGTTTTCACCCACCGGTGAAAACCACCCCCTCCGGAACAAAGCGGACGGGCAGGGGCCGGGGCTCGGTGCCCGCCTGCCTGCAGACGGGGGCGGCCGCGTACCGCCCGTTGGCGAGCCCCGCTACGCCACGCCGAGGCCGCCACCTGGTGGCTACGGAGGGCAGCGCGGGCACGGCCGTGATGCGCTGCGCCGCTGGGACGTGCGTGCGGACGGGAGCTGGGCCGAGGAGGCTCTTGTTCCTGGGGCGTCCTGATCTGCTTCCATTTTTATGTTATTTTACTTTATTTCATTTTACTTTATTGTACTGCTCGTCCTGCAAATTGAAGCTTTTTATTCCTTTCTTTTTTTTTTTTTTTTTTTCCATTCTAAGCTAATTGGTAATGAAGATGTGCATATTGCCTTTGATTTGGGTCTAAAACGGGCTTTTAAGACGACCACGTGCTGTGCTTGTGCTGCCTTGCAGAGCAGCCCTGCAGCCCATGGGCAGGTTTCTTTACGCAGGGAACTAAAGCCCCCTGTACTCACACTGTGAGACAAGGCCTCAGCACCAAGCTCCTTGCTGCAAGCTTTTGCTCCCAGTCTACATAGCAGATGTAGACATGACATAGACATGACATATAAAAGGTGCTGAGTAGCCCTTGTCCTTCATGGAGACAGGAATCTGCCTTACAAACAGCATTGGGAATGGCAAGGCGTGTTTTTCCTTGTTGCTTTGCTGCTTTTGAGCAGCTGGTTTGCCACAGTGGGCAGCATCCATGCCTCTGCATTCCAGAGTGTGGTAGCAGGAATGCAAACAGCTGCCATCCCCAAGCTGGCTTTGTGCTGCGAGTGTTTGTCCGCTGGGAGCCGAGATCCAGATGTGGCTCTCATAGTTTCCAGGCAGCACTGATCCATCAGATGACAGTAGCTATTGAGTGCTGCTCTGGTGGCCCAGAGACACAGAGATGAAAGTCTGATGTCTGTCAGCACTTCCCTTGCCATTCCTGTCTCCCTTCAGTTTTCACTTGAGTCTTCTCATAAAAGCAAATGCCCCAGAACATGATGTTGCAATGCTAATGGCCTTATTTTTGAGAAAGAAAATCATGAGTTTTGTAATGTTGAACTGCCAGAGAGACTTGGGATCCATTGAGATTTGTTGTCAAATGCCTTCGTGCTCCCACTGCCCATGTAGCTATTGGGAGCCTCAGCTGGGAACCCACCTTCCTTTTCAAAAGCACGTCACACAGCATGTCCTGGATGAATTTTCTTGAAGAAGGGGAACAATATTTAAGTACCCTCTTGAAGAAAGATATTTTCGTCAGGAAAAAAAATCAAACCAATCTGATGAACAAGCAACAGGAAATCGATGTAGACTTGGAGCTGTTTCTGTGAGTGGCTCGTGCTGTATCCCAGCTGCTCTGCCTCTAAGCAGCCCCTTTACCCCCCAGCTCACAGGCTCCACCAATTGTAAAAGCAAGAACTAACCAGAGTCAGATTCGGGTTTCAAAATACAAACCATTTTGGATACAGAGAGCTAAGGGGAAGGGGGGCAGCTGATTCGTAAGAAAACTTCTAAGCATTATTGTAGCATAAATAGTACAGCATCTTTCACCTCAAATGGCCTAACACTTCATAAAGTGATATGAGCTTCACTCATTGCTGAAATGCAGCTATTTCTGAAGTGGAATCTGATATCCTTTTTTTTTTTTTTTTAACCAACAGAGAGCAATGTTTTAAGGTGGAGAGGGAAGGATATAATATACACCAACAGTAAGTGTAAGCTAAGGTGGCTTTGCAAAACGGGAAGGTCAGGTAAAATGTATTTTTAGTAACAACATACAATCTAGAGCATCTTAAACTTATATCCTTAGTTTGCAAATGCAATTCATTTCAAAGAGATCCAGGAAATTCAAGTCATGTTTTGTCCTCAGCAACAGTGATACTGTTTTACAATGCTTTGCTAGCAGATTCTCTGGTTCTTTTCCTCTCTTCGCTTAATTTAATGTCCAGTTCTCGCAGCTGGCTGAGAAACCCTGTGTTTGGGCAGATGTCTCTGTGAGAACCCACTGTTTTCAGAGCGTCCACGAGCGTCATGTTTTCATGGATCATCAAAAAGGCAAGCACTAATGTTGCAGAGCGGCTCACCCCCATGGCACAGTGAACAAAAACTTTACCTGCAAAAGGAAGAGATGCAGCAAGGTGAGCAGGCTAAGGCATTTCTGAAGTGAAAGGAATGCAGGGAGGACAAGCTGGCAGAACAGCCAAGATGATTGGCACATACTCATTTATTCTTGAACAGCCTGAGATTGTGCTGTAGATCTCAGGCAAGGTGGTGCTTCATACTGAGCACGCGCATCTAGCTTGGGCCTCTCAATAGTTATCAAAGAAAGTGCAGTTAACATAGCTTATCTGAAAATGCAGTTAACATAACTTATCTTGAAGCTCTATTAGCTCTAGAGAGAAGGAACCTAAGCACTGAATTTTGTAAATTGAACATTATGAATGCCCTTCCCTGACAGAAGCTATTGCATGGTGGAGTTTTTTTTTTTCATGTAACGTGGAAAGAGTGCTGTGGAAATTGGCTTGGTTGGTTTGAGGTAGGAGACTAAATTTCAAAAACTAGAATATTTTTCAAAAAATTGTTTCCAACTTAAATGAAGACTGCTGTGTAGCTCCAGGATGCTTTTGCAGCTGTTGAAGCCCAGATCTCTGGGGATCTGCTGGCCATTATGCTATAGGAAAACTCTCACCGTGCAGGACAGTGGGGCAGAAAAACCTAGACGGGATTCTCTGTTCTGACCCAAGCTTTGTCAGTTCTCAGGTATTTGTTTCCAGATTAAAATAGCTGAAATGTTCTGTTGAAGGAGAAGCTTTCTGTGACAAAACTCATTAGTGTAATTTTCTGTGGAAAAAAGAAACGGTTTTGGCAGAAAACTTTGGCCCAGCCCTGACTGTGATCATTGACAAGTTCCATAAACTCTGTAGGACAGTCTGACTGTAAAAACGGTCTCATAATTTACTGTGTCTCAGCAGCCCAGTGTGAGCTATAACTAGGGATTTAATAAAGCACTTCGAGTCAAAGCAGTAAGATCTCGCAGCCAGTCGGAGTCAGAGCAAACTCTGGAACAAATGGAAATTATGATAACTAGGCCATAATCCAAACTCTGCTGACAAAAATTCAGCAGGCTGCGGGTCAGACTCATAGCTTTTGACTTAGTTCATTAACTTGTGCTGCTTCTCTAGCTTTAATGGACACCCGGCCCAGGTTCCAGTTGTGAAGCATTTAGGCACATGAAGCGTTTCAGCCAGCACTTGCAAGTGCCAGCAGGGAGTGGGAGAGCAGAGCTGTCATGCCACTCAGACCATGCATCCCCAGGCTGGAGCCCGTCTGAGATGCAAGGGCAGGCCCTCAGACTGTGCCAGGAGGCAATTCCTGCAGGGTAAAAGCCCTGCAGTGCTATAGTCTTGCCCTCATGCTCCACTCCTGGTGTTTCCCCCTGCACTAAGGCCCTGTCACAGGCCCTGGTCCCTGCCATGCCTGGAGCAGCCTCCCAGCCTCTCTGCCCTCCTCCATGCCCATGTCCTCAAATGCTATGCTCAGCCCGAGCTTTGCTGCTAGTGCATTGAGAAGCCATTTGGCTCATGTTGAAACTTCTTCCCAGAGCTTCTCGGTGCCTCCCTCTTACCTCCTGAAGTGTTTAAGGCTTTGCCTATGAAATTGGCAGCATCGTAGAAGAAGATACTTAAATCAAAGGAAGGATCATCAAATGCTTCTACTCCGAAGTACTCTATTTGCAGATCTTTGTAATATTTGGCTCCTGTGTTGATGCTATATGGCCCATCCGCTGCATTAAGGATATGAGTTATGTTGAGGCTTTGAATAGTTGTTATACTCCTAGCAGCCCACCTGTTGGAAGACACGAAGGTACACTGGCATCATGCCTAACGTTCTGCTAAAACATCACCATTTAACGTTAGAGCCTGCTCCCTCTAGAGAAGGATGCAGGGATTGCAGCTTGCTTACAGTGTGGCACATTGTCCTCCGACCTATGCAACCGAAAAATGCAACGTGGTGGTATGGGAAGCAACCTGAGCACA